CTCAAAAATTAATTTAATTGCGTGGAAACACTTCTGCAAAATATATACTTTATACAAATATATTTCTTGTTTCTATAAAGTGTAATGTACCTGTTGTAGTAGTGTTTCTCTAGTAAACACGAAATGTGTTGATATTTAGAACACTCCGTTAAATGTTTAACACATAACCAATCATTTCAGCAAGAACAGAGATTATATATACAGCTGGGATAAACATATAATTTTTAGGTTATTCTTTTATAAATTACATTGCGTTGATATTGACATAATTCGAGTAATGCACACTAAACTACAAACACTACATGTATGCACAATCGATTCAATATGATTCAATAGCAACACAAATATAATATCCATGAACTGAATGTTAACAATTATTTTTGTAATTTCAGTATTTTAAAACTGTTATTATTTCAATTGTATTTTAGTTTATATGATTTTAGGGGAGGCCTTGGGTGGTATGATTACCATTAATAAAAGCATTTATTTAAAACAGAAAATAAAATTTATATTTTTTCACGAATATATAAAGCCTTAATCTGTTTAATTAAACAAATTCCTGTCTCACGTGACTGAATTATTTATCTGTCTTCATTCCCAGCCTTGGACGTCACTTTACTTTTATGCTGCAGTGTGTGTGAATCATTAACTATGTATGGAGTTTGGGAGTTTATTTGGGGGAAAATTCCATCTACTACGGATCCACCAGCGCTACTATTCAACTATATTACCGAGTCGACTCAGGGCGGCCAGCGTCGGGACGATCCCAGCGAAGGGGGGGAAATGAAATTAAAGTAATGAAGTGGTCGCCATCTGGTGGAGCGGTAATGCGCCAATTAATCAGTCTAACCAGTTCAGATGGAGAGCAGTTATTTGTGTCAGTAGGATCATAAAACGCCTCGAAAATGCACCACTACAACGCGAAGTCAGTATTAACTGCCATTTTGCTATACCATTCCACATGGCGCTTCGTGTAAATGAATCTTGTGCCGAAAATAATTTGCAACTGCCTTCTGCATATGACATCAGAAATGCAGTTCGGAAAACAATGCATACTGTCAACGTTAAGAGAAAAAATAAATATTTATTTAATACGTAATTACTAATATAATATCTCCCACGTTTAGATTATTTACTATTTTAAGTTTCACCAAATCCTCGTATTAAAATAAGAAGACGTGTATCGAAAGTAGCTCATTCCCTTTGAAGCCGAAGCACAACTATAGAATAAATCAGTCCGCACCGAAAAGATAACACAGTACTTAACGATTAAAACGATCAACTGATTAAACGCAGAATTACTTACGTTTTTAAGCACAGATTACATAAATATATATCACTGTGCTTTTATAATTTAATATAATTTTGTTTCACGAAAATTAAGAGAATAGAGGTGCTCTTGTTTCTGAGATGGTGTAACCGGGTGGCGTTGCCTTATGGACATCGACGTTTCGGTAAAACATGCTGTTTCATTTCCAGGGCTGAATATATATTTATTCCGAAGTAATTATATATACCAACATGTATCACTGTAAGATATATCAAAGTAGTAAGCGTTGACAAATGGCAGTGCGATTAAAGAAATAACACACTCCAGTAAAATGAATTCATTTAAGATCGGCCATGGTAGACAGACGGCAAAGAAACGCTTGGACCGATAAGACGTTTCGTCGAATTATTTTCCTATAACGAATTTTTTAATCTTCTATATTCACTCACAACATCTCGGACACTTGTAACTGTTGTTTCCATATTGTGCTGTATATTTTTATAACAATTAATTATAATTTTTAACATACATGCAAAATGTTACACTTTGAAAAGCAATACGTTAATAGTCGCCACTTAAAAACCACAATTTTGCTAAAAATTGCATTCTTCTTTTGCGTGTTTATAGCTAAATGATATAAAAATTTCATCGACGTTATTTAAAATATTTAAAGCCGTTGCTCATCAATACAAATACACAAAATACATGTCACCCGATAAAACAAAGAACTACAAAAAAATAAAAATCATTACACAAATCATATTTGCGTAACAGGTTATATCAATAAATATTCGAAAAAAACAAAAAACAAACAGAAATAACCCTTGTGGATGTAAAGTATTTCAACAGCCATACATACCAACAGTTTCAGAATTACAGTATGAAAAATATATTATGGGGGTAGTGAGTCACTGAACACATAACAATACACATGTGGTCATTCTGGAATTTCTGTATATGCTTTCGGTTACAAATTTCAGGGAACTCTAAATTATAATGAGCTTAAAACTGATATTCATCAACAGTGCACACAAAAAGTTGCTTCACCATAGGAAGACACTCCCCGTGTCCATATTACATAACTATGCGATAGCCGTACTTATCAATCTTTCATGATTTTTCGAAATACGTTCTGTACCTTTGGTAATATCATTATAAACCAAATTTGCCTTTAATATTGCAATCCTCTGAAATGTTGCGCCGTGAAGTCTCACTGATGTTAAACGACGTTTCAGATATGTTTGCTGCCTCAATAATCAGACACTAATCTCCTCTGAAACATTGGTTAAAATCTTCCAGACTGCACGACTCAGCATCCCAGAATTGACAGAGTCTTAAAACCGAAGAAATTCAGCGTATAAGACCACGGATTCAACATCTGGAAATGTAATAGCTGAGAAGATCCCGTAACTTAAATGGAACTACTTTCAAGAGAGACATTATTGATCTATAAAGAGATGGTCTGACAAAATACACGAAGCGATAATAAGATAAAATATAGTCTAACCCATAACCGCAGTAAATATGTAACACGTTTATGGGAAAAAATTTCAATTTCTAACATAATATGGAAATGAATTGAAGATCAGTAATTTGTTTAAAAATTTTGTATAACTTCATACGAAGAACTTCACTGATCAATAAATGATGAGTCTATGCCCTTTTTTTTAATCACGAAATCCTGAAAGGAACAGAGTTAATGACCTGCTACAAGCATTGGCTTCTGAGCCTCCATTATCCACAGAATAATCATCTAGAGGTAAGGTAGAAGAAAATATTTATAATTAACACACTTAATACGGAATTAAGTTCTTTAGTATAAATACTTGAAGATACAAACAAAACAGGCCCATATAATTACAACAGTTTACAACATCCTATTAAACCTTTAAAATCTAGTGGCAACTATACGTACCACCTGCTTTCACAATAATTAATTTTGCATTTTCCCATTGCATGTATTACTTAGTATGCTCTGGCAAAAAACAGCGGTTACATCTTTAAAGGGCGTGAACTAACCGGTCTTCGTAATGGATAAGTGTTGTGTTTTCTTTGAGGTAAGAGCTGAACTTTTAAATATTATTTATATCAGAGTCTTGCTTCAGATGGTTGATCTATCGCGTAAGTATGAAATAACAGTGATGAAATATACACTTCATCACACGCGTATTTTAAAAAATACGTCCTTTGCAAAATTCCTAGTATTGCCTACTTTTAATATTCTTCAGTTACAGACATTAATGACATCGTTTCCTGCGTCTTACGAGCATTAACATAAGTAACATTAAGCAACGTCCATGTCTGTGGCTAACAAAACTAATTAGTAATAATGGATAATATTTTGGTCATATTTCGACAATTATAAACAACATAAAATTCGTTGTATTATATAAAAGCCAGTTTGATGTTTGTGGATGACTGAGTTTGCTTACGCTCAAAAGCGAGATATTTAAATTGACTCCGAACTCACAGAAAACGTAATACGAATCAAAGGCTGAACTTTTCCACTGTTAGTCTCTCGTAACATCATGTTCTGAGCGATATTTTACATATAAACTGCTTTGGATTTGTATTACATTGTATTAGTTTTTAATTTCCTGTGTTTGTGTTATACACTAAATATTTACTGAGATGTAGAAGGGGTGGAAAATAAATTAAGGGAGAACAGAAAGAGGGTGATAAAGATAAGATACAAGATCATTATATTCTAACTGTATAATTACAATGTGTAAAAATTGTAATGGGTATTGAATAAAAAATGTAAGTACCTAGGTCTATTACACTTAAACCACACAGAGTGAAATGTACTATTTCGGTTAATATGTAATAATATTGACATTTAATTAGTAACCGTATCCTTTAAAGTTAATTAACATGATGCACAATGCCTAAATAATATAAAAAATTTGCAAATCTGACGCAATGTACGGATACATATTATATCTCTGGTTTGTGATTTAATAAATTCGAACATTTTGGATATGAATTAGACTTCTACTATATTTAAGCAAAACTCTGTAAGCAATATGAAGAATTAGAACCGTAAGACGTTAAATTAACAACGGATTTCCAATACAAAAACAATATCTTAATCTGTCCTTATTTAAATAACATAGCTAATATTTATTTAACTGCCGCCAGTAACGTTTAACTTTTCAGGGAATCAACACTTCATTATTCACTAATATTTTTGTCCCTGTTTCAATATAACTATAACTGCATTAAACATAGGCCAGAAGAACAGTAATATGGACACGATCTATTACGAATATGCATGCATAGCATAACTCAACCGCATTAGCCAAAAACTGACCTTCGACCTTCATGAATGGCCACAAAATTCCGATGTTGGCGATTCTCATTTTCGCGAGAAGAAATCCATGCAGGTAAGCATGTAAAGTATGTTCATTGTTGTTCGATCATAAATGAAGTTGTAATATGCTAATAAATTTTAATAAAACTTCTTAGTGTCAGATTTCGTATAAATCCGTCCAGTCGTTACACGTGCACAGAAAGACAGACTAAGTAGATCGATTTTAATATACGCTCGGCAGAGTTGTGAACCCTCCCATAAGTACAGCCAAAGTCATGTGTTAATGCCACAAGGTTCTTGCTTTACAGTAAAAATAATTCACAACTTGCCTACTGAAGGACCTGAGAATTATGTCCTTTTTAACCACAATCAGGGGTCTTAACATTCTTATGTTTTAATTGTTCTGTTTGTACTTACCAACTAACTCCACGCTACACAGCGTTAAGACGCACGTCCAAATTTGCGCCATCTTTAAAGAAATGTACATAAGATGTCCGCGTTCTGTCATTCATGCGTCACATCAGGTAAAGACCTAATATGTCAGGCCTCCACCTGAAACAATAAAAATAAAATGATTTCACACAACAAACACAGTGTTAAAATATAAATTACAAAAGGAATGTTCGACGGCAGAGATCTTATTGCGAACAATTCCCAGAGACACATACAACGCAGGAACACAAATTCATAGTAAGCTCTGATAGATTCATTTCAATTACTCTAAGTTCCATAAGCAGTTCTCATAGAATTCTATAGTTTGCTGATAGAACAATATGGAAGACCTTGCTGTATTTTAGTATCGCATTAGATTAGACGTACTTTCAAGATAGCCATAAGAGAGAAATCCACAGTGCATAGTCCACTACCTATCAAATATTTCAACAACCACTCTGCCCAATCTAGAGCCGCGGTAAAAATGCATATGAGCTACAATTCCTCTCCTATCAAGTGCTTCCAAAGCGTGTAGTGGGACAACTTCACTTTGCGTGGCATTGAATGAAATTGAATCGGAACTGAATATATTATAATAGTATTTTTGAAAGAAATGCCCTATCTTGTTTCAGCACTTAAGGCACAAGCAAATATGTAGATAATATTGTGTCAATAATTTTGTTTTGTACAAAAAACAATAAGAAAAAAGGAAAAGTACTGTGTTCTGTTATTAATTCAATAAAATCAGTATTTTACTATACATTTAAACAGAAATAAACATATAAACATTTCTGACAGTGTATTTATTATGTATGATGACTGCAAGCTTTAATAATCCTGTATTCGTTAATATATCTCACAGCCTTAAAATACACAAAAAAATGTTGTAAACACAGCTTACATTGCATTATTGGCAGTTCGAAGGTAAATTCATTCAAAAAGAAGTATGTGAACAGACAGATTGATAGCGGATTAAGCACTGGACGCGTTCTGATGGCAGGATGTCTTAGACTACTTAAGGCTACGAAGCAGTCGAAATGGTTACTCTTCAGCTCTCAACCGACCTTTGAAACATTTTATCAACAACTAGAAGCTCAGTGACCTGCATTAATAAAACCTTTTGCTGTTACCGTGTGTTTAACAACATAACTAAACCACACAACTGGCTCCCGCATCACGTGGTTACATAATTAAAGTGTCAAACAGTAATTTGGATTTAGTTTATATTTGGTTGTAATGTTTTTTTAATTTTAATTTCGAATTAGGATGATAAACCGGGCTCAACAAATCCACTCGTCTGTTAGTGCGTGCAAAATCACGGTCGACGAGTGCAAACTATTATCTCCCAATGTCTTTTTCTGCACAAATGTTGCATAGAAAATTTGTAATTGGCTTGAACATGAAGGCCCTTGATGAATTGTTTGAATGTTATGGTATATATTATTAATCTGTCGACTAGTTTCGCATTAAATATTTCTGTTCATCAAAAGTTTTTAACACGATTAAGGTACTGATGTTATGATACATTTTGACATTCACACATAGATGCTTTTTGAGTTCAGAAAATCCTTGTGGCATTAATATGAAACCCTGTGATAAGCAGCACAAACTGCTCATGACTATTTCTGATTACTTTCTGTTAATATGTCGGGTTCCCAGAAAGGAAATTGAGAGTACACAAATATTCCTACAGACCGGAAATTACACCCCCGAAGGTAGCAATTGGTGGATATCAATATTACGGGCATATGGGTTACCAGTAAGCGGTCATTGTGAGTGCTGGGATTTACCAGTGAATATTGTTCAATTTGTTTGCAAGCTCTAGTACGTATTTATGTTCCTAGGGGTTGTAAGAACCTTGTCACCAAAATACAGGACACATTCGTAACATAAAAGTAGCTAACAAATCATTCAATAATGTGGAAAAGTACACATATTTGAGGACGAGAGCTACACAATTATATTCACGAAGAAATTAAGACCAGGATATCACGTGCTCACGGCAGCAAGAATAGATGGCTATCTTATGGGTTGTAGAGTCGTGTAGCCCTGATAATGGATACAGGAATAACCTCCGAAACGCAGATAAACATTACCAAACTACATAGTGCTATAATTCAGAAGATAGTAACCTTCAAACTGAGACCATATTTAATTAATTCTTGCTAAAATGTAAATCAGAATTGTTAGTCTTATATCTACAAATGTAAGGATTAAATGTTCGCAATTATAATTTTAAGATATTTTTTTTAAATTGTTGTGACAACTGGTATATTAAATGAAAGGAACAACAAAATGAATAATGAAAGTAAGGATAAGAATAGTAACACGTAATTCGATACACAGCGAGATGATATTTTAACCACAAAGGAAAGAGATGTTTACTTTTGCTGATAACCTTGTAATGCAATTTCTTAGAAGTCTACCAGATACAGTAACATATTACCTACGTTTTCAACACGTGTGAGCATTTGATTTTATCAGAATCGGTATTTCATGTAGTAGCTCAATACTGTAAACCACCTTATTTCAAAATTTCTGCATAGGTAAAAAATAAACGAAAAGTGCATTTGATACAAAGATTATTTGAGTTTTCAAACATCCAATATGTTCCTACAAATTACAAGAACGAAGGTTTTGACTCAAGGAAGACATTCCGAATATTTTTCTGTGGAACATTATCACACTAGTCACCAATTTATTCTAGAAAGATTACTCTCGCACACGAAAACATAAAATATAAAAATAAAATAATAAATTACAATTTTTTTGACATCTCAATCATCTCGTTTTCTTGTATGTTTCTAAATTTGTAAATTCTATTCGAAATTTTGGTCAGATCCCAATTCAAACTTCCACCGCCATGAAACTCATATCTCATGTAATTATAAATCAATCAAAATCTACATCTTATACACAAATAAGAATTTTGAAGTGAAAATATATAAAATGTTTAAAAGAAACTTAACCCGTCTGAGAATACATTTCTGTTCATATCTCGTCTTGGTGGATTTATAATTTCTATTCCTCATCAACGAACATCCTTTCTTGAACAATGAAGACAACTGAAGTAGAGATAAAGGCAATAGTTAAAGAAATACACGATCCTCTAGGAGTTACGTCTCTTTCTGAACACTTCGTACATGATCGGAGTTTAAAGAAAGTACTTTTGAGTATAAAGATTACAAAAGCCAGTGTAAAAAAGTGCTGTTTCTTCAATCGTGCATATAAATAGTGTTAGCAAAGGGAGAGGCAAAACAAGATGCAGTTGAAGCCGTTGTGACTGCAAATTGATACGAGACAGTGGACCCCGTCCGGATTGCTTCTCGGAGTTGCGAAGGAACGCGCTTCGTAATGTAACATTTATTGGACTCATGCTGTCAGCAGGCCACGTACGGACGGCGTGACAATCCCAGGCCTGGATATCCACTCGACAACCGTTGACAGGCCACATACAAAGGTCCATTCTACTGGCGCACAAATATTTTAGCAACTCAACACTTGAATTAGACACGGGCCCAAACTGACATCCCAAGAATCATGTTGCATAGCTTCTTCTGTTTTAATTCACAAAACTTTCTCAGACACACACCATTGGTAATGTTATTGTTACTGTTTGTATTGTTGTTAGTACTTGACTGTTATTGGCCTTTTTGGCTGTTGTCAAGCACTTTAATAAATTAATTGAATTATTATTATTATTGGTATTATTTTAAATAAATGAATTGAATTGAATTATTAGTATTATAAGCTTAATGTTAACATGGTTGATAATAAATTTTTTATATTATTCATTTTAAAACCTTCTAAGATTTGAGGTTTTCAATAATTTTTTTATATTATTCATTTTAAAACCTTGTAAGATTTGAAGTTTTCACAGCGGTGAGTATGAAGATTGCCGTCTTCTGGGTTGTTGCGCTGTGTAGTCTGGTCGATGTTTACCAACGTTTCAGAGGTCATACTACCTCCGTCATCAGGGCGATGAAGATTTCTGTCTACTGGGTTGTTGCGCTGTGTAGTCTGGTCGATGTTTACCAACGTTTCAGAGGTCATACTACCTCCGTCATCAGGGCGATGCAACGCAACAACACAGAAGACAGCCATCATAGAAGTGATATTTAATCGGTAGTATTTCTATTATTTCAGTAAAGTACTTCTGTGGAAAAAATGCGAAAAACTATTTCATTACAAATTTAATTCAATTTATGGGTGATGCTGAAACGAACTGAAAATAATTAAAGGTATGGAATACACTTACAAATGTGTCGGTCAAATATCAAAGCAAACTTTTGTCACTTAGCAGCACACTAAATGGGCACTGTGTTTATAACCGAATTTAGATGAACAAAGTGGTTTCTTTCAACGTACCAAATCTATTAGAATAAATAAATAAGCTTATCTACAGCGTGACAGTTCGACTAAACATTTTCGGTTTTATGCTGATACGCTACACGAGAGTTATTGTGATAACTTAGCTTTAACTGGTAACACACAAAGACTAGAGATAATGGGGCCTTTTGAGGGGAAACTGCAAGCCCATATCCAGTTAACTAGTAAGTCAATATTATCTCAACAGCATAGTGCGTTGTAAGGTCACGAATGAGGGACAATGAATAAGCAACTAAGGACAACAAACAAGGATTACAACATTATCATCTTGGTTATTGTCCACTGTCTGAGATATTATTAACCCTTCACGACGAATCTGAAGAGAGAGGGTTAGGGAGGATAGCAGAAGAGAGAATACGTGAGAGAGACTTTGTTTCTGGGGGAATAAAGTATATTAAAAGGTTCCCAGGCAATGCCCGATCGTCCTTCTGGTACGAAAAATAAGGGTTAAGACGTTAGGGTGATAATTAGTCATAGTTTGCTACCAAAAAAGGGAGGAAATTTTATTTTCTAAATGTTGGAGTTATAAATTGGAAAGCTAAGTAATATAATGGCCTCAACAGGAAGAGGTAAACTTGGAATTTGGGGACGATTTCATCATTTGCTTAAAGTCAGACTAAAACCAAGAAAACCAATGTCGAATTCCGTCTAAATAATCATTAAAAATCAAGTCCGTACCTCAAAGAGAACACAACTCTACAGTGATTAACACTGTTTAAGGAAATAATCCC